ACTATACCAATAATTACGGTAGAACTGACAAACTACAACAATTTACAAGAACGCAAAGAAAAAAATAATACCAAAGAATTTGAAAGGAAAAAATTCAGTTTCAAACAGTTGTCGTTCTTTCAACCCGCTGTTTATAGCAGGTGATGTGCAACTTCTGTACTTCCATGATGTCCATGACAAATTCTCCAATATGTTCCATCCTCCAGCAGCTAATTTCCGGATTCAATAATAATAAAACTGAGAGTAATGGGTCTTAAGATAAATAATACGTTAATTAGGCGCTTATACGCTTATACGTTAACTAGATAAATGCGATGTGTCATTTCTGAAGCATGGAACGTTCCGCAGTATGTCCATGATAGCGTGTCGAATGTGTCTCATCTTCCAGCAGTAAATTAGTGGGTTAAAAGATGAGTTGAGGAACATGACCATCCATGAATAAAGCAAAAATCTCTTCAAGGTGATACTGGGGCCATTGATGTTTAAGGCGACCAAACTGATAAAGTAAGGCAAATAACAAATCAAAAACACGAGATAAACGTAGAACACACCGACCGCAGAATTAACGAGACTAATAAAATTTGCTATTTCGCCATTCTCTGCTACTTGGTGTACTTGCAAGGCCTGAATCTGATTCTTGTGGCGTCTTACGGCTAAATAAATCCCGATGCAAGCCACGGCTGTAAGAACAAGACCAATAACTCCAAGAAATACTCTAACAAGTAAGAAATTATCGACCGGGATCCAGACCAATATCAAAGGTAGAAATGCACTAAGGAACCAAATTAAGATCACCACAGCAACAACACGCTTGTGAGTCACAAGTTCCTGATATCTGAGATGAAGATGAATTGTTAAGAACCTGTCAACACTTATGGCAACGACACCCAAGAACGAGACTAAGGAAAACGCATTTACTATGAATATAATAACTATATTGGTGTTACAGCCAGGGTTGTTTTGTTCCAACAATCCTATTACAAGTGAGATGTAAAAAGGCTGACACAATAAATCAACACCAACATCCGAAACAGTAAGACCAGGAGCAATGTTTTTAAAGTCTTTGACAACGATGAAGTTTTTCTTATCGCATGGATTATTACAATGTTCAACATGATAGTGGTATAGGACAGAAAACTGTTGAAGACACAATTGGCGATGTAAGTCGAACGAAGCTCCTCAACTTCGGAGTTTTCGGGGTTGGGCTGCAGCGGTATTATACAAAATGATTTCTCCATTTTATACAGAGACGTTTCTTTAAGCGACCGAGCTAGTATAATTTCCTGTCTCGACGACAAAGCCAGTTGGACCACTTTAGCTCAAATAGTTCCTTTCTGTAAGTACTCCAGAGCTCGCCACTTCAGATGTTTTGTCGTCACGGTCATAAAATAAGTTAAAGCTGAAACTGAATGAAACGTGATGCATAATTTATACGCGGTTAATCAACTTCCTTACACAGTAACTGATTAGAATAGAGCACGGACATAAACGTCACTGGCGTCAGTGATAATCTTCGTTTAAGTATGCTGCTGCAAAGGACTGGAATAATCTTGCCAAAGAGTTAAGGGAACTCAGCTCTGCTTTTAGATTTAGAATTAACGTTTTTTTAAAGTATTTCTTAGATGTAGATCTCAAGGAACATCATTGTACTGCTCGTTAGTGGGTACGTACAGTGACTGATTAGAATAAAACACGGACATAAACGTCACTGGCGTGAGTGATAGGTTTATTAAACAAGCCATGTGAAGGTAAAGGAAAAGGTAAAGGTAAACTTTATTTAGCCAGGGTGGCTCATTCAGCGACGAGGCTGATATCCAGAGGGGCCCTGGACTAAAAATATAATAATTAAAATTACAAGGCATCGTGATAATTTAAAAATACGAGATAAAATTTAAAAAAATACAAGATATAAATTAAAAAAAATACAAGTAATAATTAAAAGTATAGAGTATAAACGAGCATGCAATAATTTATAAAAATCTAGTTCCTATATAATTTAAAAATGGTAGGCGTCAATTGAAACTCTGAAAGAAGAAAGTGACTCGGCGTTTTGAATGCTACGGGGTAAGAGGTTAAAAAAAGCTGAGCCCGAATATCTGAAGGTTCCTTTTGCAAGGCTAAGTTTGGGTTTGGGCAGGTGCAAATCTGTTCTTCTGCGAGTACTGTAGTTATGCATGTTATAATTTCTTGTGAAATAGTCACTCAAATACTTAGGTACTAGATTATTTAGATATTTATATACTAAAGTACATTTATGTCTTTTTGGTCTTGTTTCTAGCTCAACCCACCCTAAAACATTAAAAGTGTCTTTGGAAGAGTCACGCCTTGAAACGATGCGGGCAGCGCGATTTTGTAACGGTTGTAAATGTGCTTGCGAAAGCATACAGAGTTGTCTCGAAATTGGGCATTTCAGTATTTCATATCGGTAAGAATACTACACAAAGAAGATTCTCTTGATCAAAAGAACGTAACAGACTAGGGAACACGATGATCGGGAAGGAACACCACAATAATTTTTCACGCTTTCTTCCATTTCATTTTTTAACGTACTCATGCGTGAAAGCAGAAATGTTCCTAAGTCGCACTTTTGGTCGGGTATTTGCTGGGAAATGCTGGGAAATCTGCTGCCAGTTTTATGTACTGTGCGTGTGGAGTGCACAAGAAATGCCGCATCTCCAAGTATACATTGTAGCTGGTAGTTTTCTAGCAGTAACGCCTTGTTCTACGGAATCGGTACTGTAAAGTGAAATTAGTAATAGCAAAAATTGTTATAAAGTCACAATCCACATACGATTAAATATAACACAAAGCAGAGCCCGAAGATAAACACCGTTGCGAGCAATCAAAATATAAGTAATATCCAAAATAGTGGAATATTTCCCCGGATGTTTATCCACATTAATATTAGCTCCATAATTACGCGGCTAACAATGCCCCCATATTTAGGGAAGCTTTAAAAACAAGTAATTAAGCAAAAGATAAACAACTACAACAATTCGAGTCGATGTTCCCTAGGCATATACCAAAGAATTTGAAAGAGAGAATTTTAAAACAGTTGCAATTCTTTGGATGGTTTTAAACCGCGTTTGATGGCTGGTGATGCGCGATTTCTGCACTTTTGCAGTCTACTGAATGTCGTCTCATCTAACACCAGTAAATTACTGGATTCAACAACAAAAACATTGAAAGTGGCTGGTTGAAAATAAGTGTGAAGCGCTATTTCTTCTAAACCTTGAGATGTTCCGCAGTGGGTCAGTGATATCAACTCGAATGTGTCTCATCTTCCAGCAGTAAATTACTGGGTTCAATGATGAGTTAAGATGTACGAGAGTCCATGAGAAAAGGGAATATCTCTTCCATGTGATACTTCAAAGGCAGCCAAACTGATAGAGTAGGGCAAATAGCAAATCAAAAACACCAGATATACGTAGAATACACCAATCGCAGATTTGATAAGGCTAGCAAAATTTGCTATTTCGCCACTCTCTGCCACGTCTTGTACTTGCAGCACATGAATCTGATTCTTGTGACGTCGTACGGCTAAATAAATTCCGATGTAAGCCACTGTTGTAAGAAGAATACAAACACCTTCAACAGAAAGCTCAATAGGTAACAAAATATCGCGAAAGACCCAGAACACCAAGCAAGGAAAAAGTACACGAAGAAGCCAGATTCAGATCACCTCGGCGACAACACGCTTGTGAGTCACAAGTTACTGATATCTGAGATGAAGATGAATTACAAAGCATCTGTCCACACTTACATGGCCACAACACCAAAGAAAGAGACATAGGAAATCACACTTAGAGTGATTGCAAAAGCCACATGGTTGTTACAGCCAGGGTCGTTTTGTTGTAACCATTTTACCAAAAGTGAGGTGTAAAAACGCTGACCCAACAAACCAACACCAACATCAGAAACAGCAAGACTCAGGAGCAAAGTTCTTAAAGTCTTTGTCATAGACGACGTTTTTCTCAACACTTGGGGAGGGGATCGTCACAATGTTCAACATTACGGTGGTATAGGACAGAAAATTGTTGAAGACACAAATAGCTATGTAGGTCAAACGGAGATCTGCATATTCGAAGACTTTAGGAGAGCGCTGCAGCAGAAATTCACAAAATGATTTCATGATTTCATGGCATCCACTGATTTTTCTTCAGGTCACTGAGAATTTAACATTCAGCGATGTTTTAAGAAGTTAGGACAGTTTCCTTTCTTTTCGCCATAAACCAAGTGGATCACTTTAGCTAAAACGATTCTGTTTCTTAATTAATTAAGTTGTGATCTTCATTAAGTGACATCAATAAAGTATAAAAGAGCTTATTAATAAATGCTTTGTTGTCGAGCTCAACGTTACGACTGCTGGGGTCACCAATGCGACTGGATTTGATACACTAGCGACTAACTTTTCATGTTTGCTCCCCAGACTGGCCACCAAGATATTTTAGCTTCGGTCTGTTAGCTTCGTGGTCAGCAGATTAAAGGACGAGCAATAGGCATATCTTGTGTAATTTTGTTTCATTATTCCCACATCGTTGTCAGAAAATTAGAACATCCTTCTTTAAACTTTCAGTTCGGGCGATGGGACTTTTAGTCCGGGCGAACTCAGGCTATTGGGGGAGGGGGCGGGGGAGAACCACCGGTTACCGGAATTTTGAGGCCTTTTGAAGTGTCTGCTGTTTTCAGCCATGGTTTCCGACGAAACTTTGTAATACCGGCGCAAAATTTAAATAAAATAAGTGACACTTGCCGTACTTATTTTCCATTTGCAGTCAAACTCAGTTTTAATGGCTGGTAATCGAGATTCAGTGAGCCCATCAGAAAGCTAGAAATGCATTATACGAGGCTTAGAGGTAAATCATACCAGTAATCATTCATTAAGTTCTTGAATACAAGAAATAAGAAGTCATAATAATTTCATTCTCAAAGTTTGTGGTATCAACAAAATAACTGTAATCCAAAGTACAAAATACTTGAATACATCAAATAGAACTCACCTTATAACCTTTGCCAGTCGACATGTTGAAAACATGCAAGTGTCCCTTTTGGTTTCCAGTCTTTTTCGTGCATTAAGGGAAATGGCTTTTACCTTGAAAAGTCCAGTCGCAAACATAAATATTAATATGTTCTTTTCTCAAAATAAATCTCGTATTATGTAATGCCCATTTTGGTTGCCAAGGTGAGTGAAAAAAACGAAACATTTTGGTGACTGCAGTTTTCAAACAGGTAGCCTAGTGCAGTACAAAAGGCTGATTGCTCATCAACTAGGTTTTTTGTAGTATAATCACTAAGCTAAACAAATTCAACCACAATTTTTGCATGTTTGCCTTCCTTACCAGTTCTTGTTTTTTTCCAGCAGTATTAGGTCATGTAAAGTGACACAAAGTGTCCTTCTTTGAAAAGGCTTGGAATTGTCATAGTAGCAATTTTACAAAAGAAGGTTGCAAAAAAGAGATTTCTGAAACACTTGAGCTAGGAGCCATGTAATAAGAAGACAAATGTATATACATTCCTTTTTCCCATTACATTTCACATTTACCGGTAGTTATAATTTTATACATTATACTGTTTTTGAAGTATTAATTTTGTAATGCCCTTCTTCTCAATGTTGGCTAAAATCCATGACAAAGTAACATAGGTTTACATGTACATTCACGTCATTGTATCAATGACCAAACTTGTAGATTTGTTATGGTTTATAGTCAAATCTGAGAGAGTTTGTTGTCGAGTTTGGGATCCATGCTCAATTCTAAAATAAGTAATCTTTAGTTACAGTTAAAATGTACATTCATGACATTAGCAGATATTGAAATCAGAACAGGCACAGCTAGCTACATACGTCTACAGTTATGTAGCTTAAGCTTCTAACCAAATGTTACAAAGCCTTTTCTTTGCACTTTCTAGCTTTTTACTTAATCAATGGGTAGGCTGCATAGCTGGCGGGATCCATGAGCGAGTGACTTTTGGCGGCGGAGCTGCCATTTTACATTCTCTCACCAGCAAAGCCCACAAGAGTCTTCACCAAGGGTCTTCACCAATCTCCTCGCAGCTTCACCACAGCTTCGCTACCAAAACAAAATGTTCTCACACACGAAATCCCGCCAGCTATGCAGACTACATGTACTGATATTTCGAAAGGATACAACTAGCATGTTGTTGTTAACAGGTTGAAATCTGCATGCCGACACACCACAGGTGTGATTGTCATTCACAACACGTAAGCACTGTCCAGATGCTGGATCCCAGACCCTTGCAGTACAGTCCAAAGATGCAGACAGTATGAAGTCATTGGTTATTGACCAGTCAAAATCTGACAAAAAAGAAAACATCAACCTTGGCAGATGTTCCATGTGTCTCTGGAGGCATTCATGGAGGAAAAATATTTGACAATCTAAAAAGTGAGGGCAGGAACTATAATTTCCGGTCATGTATGTAATATCAATCTTCCATGTGAACACCACTATATCATGTTCAGTTTGTATGGATGGAAAAGTAATGTCTGTGTATGAGTCTAGCGGTCCATCAGGCTGGAAATTAGCTCTGGTTTCTATAGCAAGACATTAGTAGGAATGCAATTATTCCTACTACCCCTGGGTGAGATGCTTGTTTGAAGCGGGTTTACATGTACTGCCAGCATGAAACTTACAGGTACCTTGATTGGAGAGAGGCACAGTAAGAGTACAGTGTCTTACCCACGAAATACAACACAATTTGACCCTGCGGGTCAGGGTCTAGAACCCCGACCACTCAATCTTGAGTCTAGCAAACAACCATTTGGCCACTGTGCCTCCCTTAGCCACCCTGCTTCAGAATCCTTGACTGTCACACCTAGTTGAGTAGCCTTCTCTGGGTAGTGTCTTTTGGTGGCTTTGGCACTGAAGTTCACTATTGCCTTGCTAGTCACTGCAGTGGGCCAATCACAATAGCTGCTAATGACGCCCCTTCACTTTGCACCTACCTGTGACGGCTGCTGTGTGTCCTCGAAGTGTGCAGGACACAGATGGAGGTGAAGGCACAAGTGCACAGACAGACAGTGTGCCATCTGCAGAGCTGCATGCCAAACGGTGTTTGTCATCATTAGCAAATTTAATGGCAGTGACTAAAAAAA